GCTATAACTATTACAATTCTGTATGTTCTGAATTCATATTTATTCACTGGAATGACGAAAGCAATGTTGACTTCACTTTAATTCGTAATGAATTGAAGACAGAAGAAATGCATTTTACCTTAATACACACATCTGTAACAGTATCCGAAATCGGAAGTCATCAGTTGCAAGTTTGTTGATAATAGAAATTAAAAATTATTGAGGAATTTTTCTTCAAATGTTTGGCGTGTTCTGTTCCTGAAAGATTTACTAATATTCTGGAGATTTTTTTCAAGTTCTTCGGCCTTTTCCTTAGGGAAATTTTGTTTCTTATTTGCTGCTAAAAAATGGCGTCTGATTCAGTCAATGACTTTGATGGAACTAAATGAAAACGTGATAAATTAATGTCCGATATTTACAAGCTCCCGCTAGACGGCGTACTCGAGCGTTGCGATCGCGAATAGCCATTATGGCGAACTAATAAAGTTTGAAAATATCCTATCTGTAACTCCGAACTGCTTGACCGTAGCGCTTCAAAACCGGCGCCAATCGATTTCTCGTGGCCAAAAACCCCTGACCCCCAAGTTTACCGGAGTTTATTAATTCTGGGGCGATTTTCGACTTGGCAACCATTCCTCGTATTATAGTATAAGATATATTACATAGTCTTAAAAAAATTTTCTATTCAGGGATTGCCATTCAGTGGGGTGTCATCGGTGATAAGATCATACGCCGACAAATGCATAACGACTCAACTTTTGCTGGTGTAAAAGCACAGAGCGTTCAATCATGTCTGGAAACATTGGACTTGTTCTGCCAAGTTGAACATCCCGTAATGAGTATCTATGTATCTGCATTAGGTTCTAAATGAACAAAAAGTCAAAATGCTGACGTTTTAAATCAGAATGAAAAACTTCTAGGTGAGACTATTCCTTGCTATTTTCTTGCTTTTTAAGTTTTTATATTTTCAGTTATCCACAATTTAATTAAAAATATAAACGAACTATATGATTTCAAATATCGTTGAGATCAATTCATACATGTCTAGATATTTCGATTAACTGACTATTAAATCAAAATTTTAAAAAATTCAACTGACAATTTTTTGTTGACAACTTTTCACATTCCACCTCCACAAACTTTCCTTTACATAGAGTTTTATTTTGTGTCCATTTACGCATACTCGATAGCGAGGTAGTACCTCTTTTTCCGGAAAAACTAAAAGGAATCTTCTTCACTCCTCGGGTAAATTAAAAATCATCAACATTTTCATTTCAATGCTTAAATTGGAAGAAAAAAAATTCTTTATCATTCGGTTTAAAAGCAAAACCTAACTAGAACCGAAAGTGAAAGTACGTATGGTTACTGTTAGTTTGGCTATTTTGGCTGGGTTTTTTTTGCATGATTTGCCGGTTTTTTGTGGTCGCCGTAAAAATGAGCCTCTTCTTTCTTTAAGATTCAAAGCTAGCTCCTGTTCTTATTTCTGATAAGCGTTGTTTAAGTTCAATAGATGAAATCTTGTTTTTGATGGGAGAAATAAATTTAAAATTTTAAAATTTATATCAGACACAAATCAAAATCATCCTATTGCACTGTCTAAAAAACATTTCAAGATTTCCTCTTTTGATTTTTTCATTTAAAAAATCAGAATGTGAGAGGAAATAAATCTACGAATCTCTAACATTCATTTAAACTGTTCGATCTTAAGCAATCAAATTTCGGTGACTTATATGCTACCAAAAGAAGGTCGAAAGTAAATTCCAAAGATGTTCCCAAATGCACATGAAACCTTCTTCCACTCCATAACTTAGTGCCTTCATCCCCTGAGCTACCTGAAAATGTGGAATGAAGAGCAAAAATAAGATTTTTGGTAAGATATCTTAGCTCTCTTTACGCTTTCTTCCACAATACGCTTATTATTTTACTTCTAGTATAATGATTGGCTGTTTTTTGTAAGTAAAAAAGAAAACAAAATAATTATAACTAATTTAAATACTATGTAATTGCAAACTTTTGTGCACATTATTTTTTAAGGTTGCACGTTTGATCTGTCTTAAAGACCTGTTCTCGAGAATAAATATGTTTAAACAAAATATGAAATATAATGAGATTCTAATAAAAGTTTTGCCCATAAATAGTTCCACAATCCTCTTGTTCTACAGTAAAGAATAAAAAATCTGATCTTTTTTTTTACTAATTTTTTTATAATACCTAGAATGCCATAGTCTCTCAATTGCTTTTTAAAATTCTACTATACATTTTCATAAAAATTGATTTAAATTCAACTGTTCTTTTCATTTTACAGCTTTGTAGTGGAGAAATAACAATACGGAAGTTGCTGTCACCGAAGGACTTATGTAAAAAATGAGCATGTTGATAAACTTCTAACAGTTCTTAATATATAGTTAATATAATTGTTTACAAAATGTAAAAATAATTAATCAAATTTTTTGAAAACTCAACCTTTCTAATGAATGTTAATTTACTTTAATAAAAATTCTTTGTGTCTGCAAAGTAGTTTTTAATCTCCAAGCACACATATTTTTACATAAATTTTAATCAAAGATTACTCTATTCACCTTTACAATTAATTTATCGCTTAATTTAGATTTTAAATGCTTACGATGAAAAAAAAGAAGAAAAAGAAAAAAAAAACTATTCTTAAGTTTTTATAAAATTTTTATTAATCACATTCCTTTTTTAAGTTTCTTCAGTAATTTGAAAAGGATACAATGCAGTCTCACTTGAAATTGTATGTTTAATTTATACGAAATACATGCTCCTATCACTCATTAACAAAAGGAAAATATGATTTCTAAAGAAACTTTTCGTCAAGCAATTCCTTTGCTTAGCAATTTTCGGGAAAATATTGTTGTTTTAGAGTGGTAAAATCAAAGAATTTAACCAAACTCCTTTCTAATGATCAGTAGTTTGTCACTTCGGGATAAGAACCATATTGCGTGGATCTCTCTCTAAATACTTTACATCTCTATGGTCAAAATACATAAGCTGGCTCTAAGTTATATTTTGAATGAAATCTTCAAAAAAAATTAGTTTTTAATGTTTAAAAAGTTTCTGTCAAGTTACTAGTTATCCATTCTGAAAGTTCGTAATGGGATTTTTCCGACAATTTTGGTATTCGAGGTTGCCACTTTTTAATCATGATTGCTCATTTTCAACGTTACGCTGTTGTTGAATACGGATTTAAGACTAAGCACGTGCTTATTTTAACCTCTATCAGCAAAAGTTTTAAACAAGCAAGCCGGCCTGCCTGCCTGCCTGGGGGTCAGGGAACTGGCCTTGCATCAGAAAGGTTCTGGATTTGAATCCCGGTCACGACATGGATGTTCCTTCATTCTCTGTACTATCTGTCCTTAGGGTGGGGGCAATGTCGGCCCACCTAATATGGTGCCCCTGAAAAAGTGGCCAACAAATCTGCCCTTCAGATGCCTGTATGACGAAATGTCATTCTGCTGGTGGGCATTGGAGAAAAAAAGATTTTAAACAAAGTTCTTATTGAAAGTTCTTCGCTCAAGGTCAATTTTATACCACATTATCTATTAGGTGTCGGTACCAATTTATATACAAACTACATCATAGAATATTATTCATGAAATATGATTATATTCTCTCATTAACGAAGGCGTTGCGTCAACAATAAAATTTCTGTAGAGATGGTTCCCTATGCCTAAAGTATACACTGTAGGATTTTCTAATTTGTTTGAATTATCTAACAGGATAAAGCATAAATAATTCATGTAATTAGTCATAAATTATCCCAGTAATTACTTAGCCAAAATTGCAAGGTGTTAGAGAATAAAAATCCTATTAACTACATCATAATTATGCATTCGTGTATAGACATACACGAATGCATAACCTTTCTCATCTCAAATGAAAAAGTTTTAAGAAAATATTTATTATGCATATAAGAAGTTAGCTGTCAAAGTATTGCATGAAAAAAGTTCATAATACTTTCACTTGCTAACTCCCGCGTGCAAGCTAGTTGCGCCGCACAACCCCCCCCCCCAAANCCCCCCCCAAAAAAAAAACTATTTCAGATTGCTTGGGAATCCGAGATCACTTCGTTCTCTCATTGGATATTTATTTGTTTTATTCTATTTTTGTGATTATGATGTAAATCTTTATTAAAGGTATCCAGGGTTTGTTAATTTAAATCAGCTTGATTTAAATCACGATTTAAATCAGAATTTAAATCAAATGATTTTTTTAAAAAAATCATTGATTTAAATCAACTAATTTTTATATATAGATATTGATTTAAAAAGCTAAAACGCAGTGTTTTAAATTATTGATACTTTATTATTTCTTTTCTTATAAGAATTTATTTTAAATAATTTTAAAATTTATTTTAAATAAATTGCTGCATTAGTTTCACAATTCATTATTGCTGCATTAATTAATTTTTGCTCTCGAAATTACCTTCTTACTTGGTATGTGTTAAATTCTAACACATTTGAAATTACATTTCTAAAAATCTTTTGATTCTTGAGATTGAAAGTACAGATTAAAGTAAACATTTAAGTGTTTTTTCTCATAATATGTTTACAGTATCTTTGACATTATCAGATTTTCTATAAAGAAATTTTGCGAAAAAAAATTTAAATGAGTACATAGATTTTTTTAAAAAAATTTTTAGCTTAACTTATCTATTTTGATATACGATTAAAAATGAATATTTTAATATAAAAATATATGTATTAAATATTTATTTATTTTTTTATGAATGACTACATTTATAAACACAATCTGTTACATTTATTTTGTCATTTTAAAAATCAAAAGAAAAAAAAAATAGATCACAATTTTAAATTAAAATTATGGTTTGGTAATTGAAACTTTGTTTTAATAGTTAAAGTATTCTTTAAATTCTTTATTTCATAAATCATATATTTGTTTCAAAATGCTTGCTATGCATTATAATGAAAAATTGTTTTAGGTAGTTAGAGCTTCAAAAATATTCTTATAATATAGTTTTAACTTTAATTTAATTGTGATTAAACATTTATAAAGTTTTTTTAGTCATAGATCAAAGTTCTTACTGTGTATTTGAATAAAAATTTTAAAAAATCTGATTTAAATCAAAAAAATCTGATTTTTTTTTATATTTTTAAAAAAATCAAAAAAAATTCACAAACCCTGAATGTAACACAATCAAACCGTGAAACCAATTTTAAAAACTTATAAAATCAATTTTAATACTTTACCATTTAATTTATATACATTTCAATGTTACTTGTAAATTACATTCGATACACACAGTTATGAATTTTCAGGTGTGGAGACCAAAACAGCTGAGTCGTTTATTTTAACTTGAACTCATGAAATTTATATAAACCAAAGGAAAGTTTAGAAAATGAAAAACAAATCAAACATAGCTAGCCAATCTTAATAAACAAACCACAAATCTCTCCTGTATTAACTATGAAGCATCATTGTACGTTTAAGCGTTCATGTTGATGTACGGTTACTCGCTTGATATTTTAGTTTTCAGCTCTTTTTCTTGACAACATGAAAAAAAGTTTCATCGAATTTTTAATATCTACATGCGCATTAGTCTGCATGCTCATTTGTGTTTTATTATAATAAAAGGGGACTGTAAGTCTTACTCGTTGAAACTAGCTAACCCTTTGCTCCCCTTTGTAGTGGAGAAATATTTATACATATGTTACTATCTCAGAAGATCTTATGTGAAAAACAGCAAGTAGATAAACTTGTAGCAATTCTTTGTATAAAATTAGAATAATTGCTTAGAAAATGTAAAAATATTTCATTTAATTGTTTGAAAAAATTGTATTTTCTTTCCAATTCATGTCAGTTTATTTTGAAATTATTTGCGTCTACAAGGTGATTAATCCTCAAATACAAATTTTTTCATGTAATATAATACTGCTGACCCGTATAAATGACATATATGGGTTTAACTTTGTAATTTGTTATGTAACGTGTCTGAACAATAACTTATATACACTGGATACTGAGATGTTACACATTTAAAAGCAAATTATAAGAAAGAATAAGAATTATCCATAAATCTTTATAAAAAATATTATTCATCTGATTAATCTTTTAAGTTTCTTATTTACAAAGAATAATTATTCAGTTTAACTTAAAATTTTGAGGCAAAATTATCTGAAATACATCTTTTCCGAATACTAGCTACGGAGACATTAGAAATCATCATGTTTTTGCAATAAATCCCCGTTAAATAACTATTATTAATTATAGTAAATGTACAGTTCTTACCTATAATAATCGAAACATTTTATTAAACAATTCGCTGTTGATGAGCAGCGAACTAGAGTTTGGTAAAATCTTCCTTGAATGCTCTCTCAGATTTTGAACCCCCGTTTTTTGATGATCTAGCAGTCTTTGAGCTGTAGTTCATTATTTTCAACAGTCATTTTATCACAAAATCGTGTGATTTTTAACAAGAAGCTAGCTTTCAAATAAATGACAAAAATTTTATCTTGTGTAAAAATACGTTAATGCATCCAAAGCCATTGAAACACGGATATGAATCCATTTCATAAAAATAAAAAGTTGAAATTTTAATATGAGATCTTAAAATCTTTACAAACTTAATATATTACCGCATATTTTGACAGAGTCTAGCACGAAATCAGACTTTTTTTAATGTTCCATAAGCATTCACATTTAACACTTTCAACTTTAATAAATTCCTCTTGAAAAATAATCGTAGTGACTAGTACTTTATTTAAAAGGCTGAAAAAAAGCTAATTTAAATGAAAAGTATATATAACCTATTCTAAATATTAGTATTTTGAAAATAAAAACAACAAAATAAATTTACTTACCTAAACCGTCTTCCTTAAAAATACCACTATTAATTAAATGACATTTCAGTTCTTCATTATTTAGAAAACTGAAGGACATAATCGCAAGTAAATATTTAAACGTGAAATAGAAACGAGAACGTAACACTTTTATTTAGGCAAATTGTTCCATCATATTGTCATAGCAACCTAAAACTCACATCTTTTGCTTTTTAAAGCAAAACGATAAAATTTCTAGCTTATAGCTCACATACACTTATGATTCTCTAAGTGATTTTAAAAAATATTTTAAAAAAATTATTAGTATGGAAGCGATTCCATTATTTCCTCCAACCCCTGTACTTATCCAAACGATATATTGAAATTACAATAAGAGTGCATTTATGTTTAAATTTGCTCTAAACCTTTATTGTTGAATTAATTTTCATTTTCTTTGTGATACTTTTATACGGAATATATTCTGAATTCTTTTAAACCAGATTAGATTTATTGAAACGGAATCAAGGTTGTATATATAGATATATCTTTCCTCTCTCAGTGCTGGTTGGGAAAAAATTATTGAAAATCACTCAAGTTCAAGTTAAAATGATCCAATCGAGTGATATAGATAGTCAATCAAAACTAATTGAAATTCACTCAAGTTCGAGATATAATTATGCAGCAAAACTTGAGTTATTTCGGTTAACTTTTTTTCATGGCTGAATTTAACTCAAGATGAAAAGGCTTCTTTTTTCTCAGACAAATGAGTGAAATTTCACACAAGTTGAGTTATTTTAACGTGTTAATTTTAAGTGAGTATTATCAACGATTTCGTCAAATCGTGCTGTTTATTTTTATTTTTTATTGTACGTGATTTTGGAAAGATTTTGCTTGGGTTTAAAATTAAGATCATATTCAGCCTGTTTCATTCCACAATTAAAATAAAATAAAAATAATATTTTTTTTTTTTGAAGAAAAGTCGACATTCGTGAAATCAGTGCCTGTTTAGATCCCGCAGCCACAAATAAATTATAAATGTTTCAAAAAAAATTTTTTTTGCGTTATCACTGATATTTTTTTTTCAAAACCTTTAAATATATTTACAGAGTATTTCTAATTTTGATAATACAGTTCGGAAGTAAAAATATATTGTGATGACTACAAAAGTGTTTTTATCGTGTCATAATTCCTGATTAAATGTAGAATTTAATATCAGGAGTGCTGAAAGCGACATCAGTTTCGAAACACCAACGTTATTTCTTATTAGATAGATATTGCACCTCACTCTGCCCGCTTAACTGGCTAGGACAATTTTTTTCTTAAGTGTGATGAGATGGGGCATAAGAATAAGTTGGAGAGAAAATGAAAAATGCTTTTAAAAGAAAAGGACATGACTGTTAAATTTTCAAAGCAAAATATACCAACTTACTTCTGTTTAAAAAAAAATGTTTTTTTTTTTCTGTACAGTGCAACTTTTGATTTCAATAAAGTATTTAGGACAGTAGAACATGTGTTGCTACTAATTTGAAAAAATAATAAAATGATTTCTGATTGAAAATTCTTTAGGCTTGATATTGTTTCCTGCTTTTTAATGGCATTTTTCCAATTTGCATATTTAATTTGGAGCAGTTCTAATATAATTGTTGCTTTTAACATTAAAAATGTATTTCAAGGTAGATGTTTATATTTCATATGATGTTAATTTCATTTGTTTAATCTGCTTAAGAATACCATTTCTACCAATTAAAGATTTGGGATAAAAAAAATTACAGACCCATAACTATTTAGTGTAGAATTTTATTAACATGCTAACTAATTTTAACAAATAACTAGAGTAATAGTTTAACTAATGATTGCATTCACTTTTCTTCTGAAGATTCTGGAGCCGGTTGACATCTTGGAGGTGAAGAATACTTCATCTGAAAAAAAATAATATCGAATATAATAGGTATAATAATACATGAATGAACTCGTTAGAATGTTTGTTTATTAAAGGGAAAACACATCTATGCATGATAAGGAAATTTATACTATTTTTAGGTAAATAAATAATGAATCGCACTCTGAGCATTACTACGAATAAATAAAATAAAAAAGTGCTTTTTTTAAACTGACATTCGTGATTGTCAATACTAATAGAAAAAGATATCCAAAGTGTCAAACTTAATAACAATTTTTATTTACATTAAATTTGAGCAGAAATAAATTTTAACGAGTCAAAAAAATTCGTACAAATGCACGATAACTAATACAGCTTGAACAAGATACATTGTTTAGATCATATCTCACTTTTTTATTGAATTTTACAAAAAATTTCACTCCGAAAACATTTATCAAAGAAAATTTTAAAAACACAATTAAATAATAATTAGATGTATTATAGCACTGAAAAAATTCCATACTTAACATCTGTCTCTTTACTGAGCAAAAAAAGAGTGTGCTAATGGGAGCACCAAAAAAGCATGGTAATTTTTAACGAAGTTTTTTGTTAAAATTAACTATAAAATGTGTTTTTTTTTTATTTTACGATAAAATTTGTGAGTGTGGTAAAATTCGGAAATTTTATCATGATACCTTATTATTATTAATGACTTATGCACATATATATTTAACACAATTGTCATCACCATACAGTACGGTAATTTTACAAGAAGTTTTTCCTCTTTGTTGGCAAATTGAGTGTTAGTATGATCATGATATTATTTGTAATTAATTTTAGCATCGTCTTAAAATTTGATTGACTTCATTCTCAACTGCGTTTCGTATTCTCAAAGGTAAAGGGGCAGTATTAGCAAAGGTTGTTCTAACCGGTAAAATAATCGTTTGCTTTGATTTTTTCTCTTCTTTTTTTTCTTCCTTTTTTTGCATCACCTTTCGACTGATTTTTTAATATAAGTATTTATTTTTGATGACAAAAAATTCGTTTGCAGGTAGTGGTAGTTGTTCTGCTTTAGGATGCACGATGCGTCGAAGAAGTAATATATTACCTGAAATTAAGACGTTTAAATTCCCTAAAGACACATCACGCCGAATTCAATGGATTAATGTATTAAAGAGGGAGAATGGGTTTTTAAGCATGTGCTAGAAGATTTTTTTTTCTAGTGTCTAATTAATTTCTTGCAAACTGTTTGATTTTAAAATGAAACCAGTTATAAATTATGTTTGAAAACGGAGCTAAGTAATAAAATGCCTTCAAGATAAAAGGCCAAAATTTTTTTAAGAAAAAGTAACCTATTTTTTAAAGGCTTAAAAATATCAAAATAGTGTATGCTTGTTGTATTTTGGACCAGTCTTAATACCGATCTTCGATTAGCAACATTGTAAATATTTATTTAAACTGCGTGTAACGCTTTTTTTGTGCACGATACTTATTTTTGAAATATTTGCTTACCCCAGCAGATTTATCTTTGCCTCCCTTCATGCATACTAAACCATCAGCACAAGGACATGAAACTTGCTGAAACATTTGATCAAATTTCTGTGGAATACACATTTCTCCTAAAAGGGAAATTCACAAAATTAAAAGGCTTTTTTTCAATAAGTGCTCTTTAAATATAAAAAATAAAAATAAAATATTGATAAAAATGAAAGAGCGAAACTGAAATCAAAAGCATACACTGTAAGCCACTTGAAAGTGTTACTCTTGTGAGTAACACTTTCTTGGGAGTAAGCACTGTTTAAGCAGTATTTATACCCGTACAGCACAACAATATGGCAAAATCGTAACAGTTCAGAAGAAATGCAACAAAATTCGACAAGTGATAACAATCATGTTTCTACGACATCGCGATTGAAATGTTATAGAAAAGTGCTTACGGAAACATTTCTTTGACAACCCTTTAGAAATATTTCAAAAGGTATTCCCAAAAACATTTCAACTAACACTTTCTTGTAACCTTTTTCTACGCACGTGACATCGCCATCCTGCGTTTGTGAGTACACGTACTACACTGGTGGACAAAATTAAAAGATGGAAACCATTTTCGCACATTCATTCGCACATGCAAGATACCCGCACACCGCTCCATGTGTTTGACAATGGTTCCGTGAATGCCCAGAGGTACAAGCAGGAGGTCCTAGAGCCCTATGTGAGTCTTTTCAAGGGCGCTGTTGGCCCTTAGTTCATTTTTTTATGCACGACAATGCGCGACCACATAGGGCTCTCACGGTTGATGAGTATCTGGAAAGCGAAGATATTCAACAAATGGATTGGTCAGCCAAATCCCCTGACCTGAATCCTATTGAACATACTTAGGATGCTCTTGGGAGAGCTATTGCGATGCGCCAACCTCCCCCCAGAACCGTTCTGGAGTTAAAAATTGCTCAGGTGGAGGAATGGGAGGGTCTTCCACAAGTCCTCCTCAACTCCCTTATTAACAGCATGCATACTCGTTGTGCATGCTGTCTGTCTGTCAATTCAGGGGTGACCATACACCATATTAGAGGCAACACACACTGTTCAAGCCTCACTTTTGTTGTCATCTTTTATCCTTAAGTTCAGACTATATTGGATTTATTGGCAATAGGTCTTGCCTGTGAATGGCACTTTCATTTTTGTTTTGCATACTTTATTATCATGGAATAAGCTATATCCATACCAAACTGCATTTATTTATATTCAGTATTTTTTTAGATGTTTGGGAAAATGTCTTCCATTTCTTAATTTTGTCCACCAGTGTACATTTTGCTGAGAGCTGTTGAAGTTGTGCCGTTGAAATTGCAAACATTGAATTTATTTGGAAAAAATATTGTATTCCTGTCGATAAGTACTATTTAGCTTTAAAATATCCTTGATGCATCAATAATGGCCAGTCCTCTTTTTTAAAGTAAATAATATTATCGTAGTAAAATAATCGAATTATCCTATCGAAATTATTCTTGAAATTTTAAAATATTACATCCCAAAGCATATTTCTAGAAATATTTTTCGTTTTGATTGCAAAGTCTATATTTCTCCTCCCAAGTCTATTTTTTTTCCAAAATAAAAATGAATGCGATCAGAAAAGAACAGAAAGCATATCTTATTCAAAGTAGTTCAAAAATTTAAACAACTATAAGTTTTAACTCTGAGTTGTAGCATGAGATTTCCTATTTTCAAACCAAAAGTTGTTGAAATATCGTATGTGATAAAGTTCTTTTCAAATGTAATGACATCAGTAAGTTCTTATTATTTACTGATATATTATATTCCTGCCTTTTTGTAAGTGGAAAACATTTTTGATTTATGATTTCTTATTTCATTCTTATTTATTTATTATTATTATTATTTAATAATGTCGTTTTTGCAATAAATATTAAAAAAACGGATTTATGTATTTTTTGTTATATCTACTGTTATTTCATTCATATCTAATAAAAATAATTACCTGATATTTGTTCCATGTTTGTTACCTAATTTTTTGGCGTTTTTTTTTTTTTTATTAATTTTGGAAGTACATATTAATATTTTCAATTAATTTTTTTTAAAAATCATTGATTTAATTCAACTAATTTTTAAAGAAATTGTTGATTATTCAAATCAAATCTGTAAGCATTTTAATCTGAGATTCTTTAAAACTTTTATTGAATTTCAAACTTTTAAATATTTTGTGTAGTGTTAACTATTGCGTCAATAAATTTGAATTTGTAAACGTACATATTTTTAAAGTAATGAATATTTGTAAAGTAATGAATTACGGCACTTAAAATTTTTTTGAGTTTCATTTGAATTTTTTTTTTAAATTTAAGTTTCAAACAAGGCTAAAATTTAATGCTGCTTCTTTAATATATTTATACATGCAAAAAAAGTAGTTATTGAAAATGAATTACTTCTTATAGCGCAATATGGTAAGAAAGATTGTTTCAAATCCTGATTTTAAAACGCCGTCTTCGAAAACGCATTTTAATTAAATTTCGTAACTTTTATATTTCTGTATTTACTGTGTAAAAAGGAAATTTTCAATATATATAAGAAAAAAGCTGTTCAAAAGATAAATACAGTTTACCTTTTCTAACACGTAATTTGCTTTTAATTGATGGAGTAATTTTGTACAAAAAGAATTGCCAAGCAGCAATTAAAATAAAATACAATGTTACACGCATTATTACTATTTTAAAAATTTTAGAAAATAACACACAGGGACATAGATTTTAACTATGTCATCCGAAATATTACTAAAGAAATGAACTTATTGCATGAAAACTAAGTTCCAAATTTATGAACTTATGTTTAAAATACATACAGACTTATGGTCCAAATTTCATTTAAATAAGAAACTTAGGACATGAAAATTAACAATCAAATTTAGGCAGAAAAAGTTATCCAAGTTCATAAACTTAAGTTTGAAACACAAACGGACTTAAAATATATGGTCCAAAGTTTTACTAAATAAAAAACATATGAAAGGAAAATTGATAATCAAATTTACCAAAAAAAGTAGCCTAAATACCCTAAGATAACGGTGTCATGTATTTAGCTTTCACAACGACACACTGATATTATTCAAGTTCTAAAATAGAGCTCTTAAAAAGCGCAAAAACTAATTATAGTCATAGCCCATTTTTACTATACACATATATATATANTGAGTCTTTTCCGGCCTCTGATGGGGCTATTTTTTTCTTATTTAAGCGATTAATTTCTGATGTTCCATTATTTAGGCTTATGGTACACGACCGCCATTTTCTCAATGCTATTTTTACATTTCTTCTTATCGCTAATTTTAATTTTGCTTTCTTTAATTTTAATAACTTCATTCATTATTTATTTTCTTTTGTAAATGCATTTTTTTTTTCAATTTCATAATTTTCGGATCTAATGGCTATTTATTTATAGACATTAATTTTGTTTATATATATATATATATATATAGTGATAAGTAAGGCATTACTTTTAAATAAATAATATTATTTTTAAAGCAATATCACAAAATTAGTTAGCCCTAATTACTTAAACTCTCCAAAACTCTAAACAGTAAGTATGCACTCGCTGATTGATTAAACCATTTATTTATATTTTTAACAGTGATTTTTTTTAAACGTGAGTTCTGCAAAGTTTTTTTCAATATTTTAGTCTTTACAAATGAGTAATTTGATAATTAATTCTGAATTATACGAACGGTGTGCAACAAACTAAGAAAAAAACAGTTTAAATAATTATCATGTTACATAATTATCATATTATATAAATATATTAGGAGCTACATAGCAGTTTTTAACATGCGTTTATTTAAAATTATTAATTTTCAAATATTTTGATTGCTTTTTTTCTCACAAAAAATTTATCTGGCTCATAATACATACATGAATAAATAAAAAAATGAAATGAAATTTTTTAAGAATTGGTCCCTAAAAAAATTAGTTACCTGAATAATATCAACCAATATTGATTTGATTTCCTTAAATGAAAGACGTTTAAAGCGAGTTTCATTACCAAACTTTTTAAAAATCAGTGCTCTTATTTTTAAAATTTTCCTCATCGGGTAAACAATTAATCACATTTATGGAAATTCTAAAAAAAAATCCTTTAATTATTGAGTAACGTCCCCTTTGGCCTTGATAACTGACAGCATTCGTTTAGATATATCCAAAAGATAATACATTGATTTCCCAAACATGCAAAAATATGGTTAAAGGGTCAGAGTTAAGTGATTTTACTGACCAATAGAGATGTATTAGGATAATTGAGTGTTTACACACTCTTTCTGTCAGTTGAAATATGCTGTTGTTCTCTTGAAAAATAGAGGTATCAACATCAAGCTCATTCTGAATGTGGTGACAGGCAGACAACACCTAATCACACAGAATGTTAAAATAAACATGTTAGCTCATGTTACTGGCTACCTCAGTGAGCAGATCTCATATATCCTAAGCACATCCAATATATGAATGATTTACTTTGTAATAACGTAGGCGGTTTCTCTAGGGGGGACAATTTGTTTGTCCAGTGAGTTGGAAATGAATTTATTTTTTTAAAAGAATTTTATTATGTGAAATTATTTGTGCTTCACGTCGTTTTAACATTATTTTCAGGAAGTTTGGAATAATTACAAAATTTATCTCATTCACTAAAATAAATTTAGAATTACTATTACTATTAAGAATTATAAATCATACTAAATTCATCAATCAAAATAATCACTATTTCAAATCATGCCATTCATACATAGATGTTTTTTTGAAGCAACACATATAAAACATTTTACCTTCTTGTGGTCTTTTTAGACAATGTCCAAAACCACCTCCAAATTGTTTGAGACAACATTCAGTTTCACCACAATCGTTGTCAGTCGAACAACTGCTTCCACCCCACTTAGGATATGCACTTGCATAGACCTAAAATTAAATCAACATGATTATTTAAGACATTCAAATGGAAATAAAAACAATTCATTCAATTTAAAAAAGGAAAAAAAACTTATTTTTGAATGTATGATACCCAAAACTCAGTAAAATTTAACCTTTTTAATTATTGCAGCTACGTAATTTTATTGAATGAATATTAAATGAAATATATAGTTTATAAAAGAGACACTTTATTTTTATTTTTCGCTTTTCGTCATGAATTCGGATTTTTTGCTTGTGATATTCTATAAAATAATTATACTCAATCTCCATTTACCCGAAATTTAAGCATTAAATATTTTTATTGAGATGAAATAAAATAATGTTAATTAATAATGTATGCTTTTGTTCGACTTTTTTTTACATTCTCTTATATCATAAATTTAAATTCCCAGTATTTTAATAAAATTTTTATCATAATTTCATAGATTGCATTACATAATTAATTAATATTCTATGAATGTATGATACTCTCTACTTGGTTACTTCCATTTGCTTTTTCCTTCACTTTAGGTTATAAATTTGGATTTTTCTGCTTTACATTGCATAATATTCTATGAAAAATGATACCCAATTACCACATGCCCAAAATTTTAGCATTAAATATTTTTATTAGATGATGGTTTAATAAATAATGCTATGAAAATTATCCAAAACTATTACGATTTGACGCAGAATTTTTATTAAACATATTTTTATTACTCTTTTCACTATTTTTTTTAATTTAAGTCAAAATAAGTGAAAAATACTATAATTAGAAATTTAATAATTTATGGTTATGGAACACTGGTGTCTCTTCCGACTTTAAAGGTAAAATCTTCCAAACATGCCTCACTTCCAATCAATAACCTTTTAAAATTTACACTTATTTACAGTTATTTAGATTGAAGAGAAATGTTTATTCATCATTTAAATTTCTTTAATTTACAAGATCAATTATTGATAAATTTTTGAATATGAATGAAAAAACTTTAAAACTACTTCTTATAGATTTAATATTTGAGTAAAAATGTAATTCTGATAGTCTAAAAAAACATTTTAGAAAATATTAGATTTTTTTATAATTAAAAAATACCAAAATATAGTTTTACTTGTAATTAAAGCGTCAGAAAAGAAATATATAAAAGTGACATCGGTATTCTCTCTGCATCAAAGAATTAACTGTGCACCAAAATTTCACCAAAAAAATTGGAAAAAAATACATTTTAATTACATAAACTAAGCTATTTTTAAAACTAAAGACTCCATCCAAGGAAAAAAATCATCAATGTTCAAATCAACGCAGCATTTGTAATGATGAGAATATTATAAAAATTTTCTTTTATAAAAACTTACCATTATGCTTAAAAACAGCAAACAAAATGTAAAGATGGATTTCATTTTGCTATTCTGATAAGTTTGAAACTCCGATTACGAACGGGAAGCACACGATTTAAGAGATGTTAGTATTCGATCACCACACTTCATTTTATATGTGCATCCTTACATGGTATCTCATTAAAAGATGAAAGCAATTACCGATATTTACTTTTAAATGCCGACTCTCCTATCAAAGCATATTATTTATTTTTTCCAATACATAATTGATTCATAGCCGCTTTTCAATGGGAGGTAAACTACAAAGAAATAATCAATTATTCTTGATATTTTCTTGGACAAAAGAATCGGCGCTGATAACAGACATCATTTTGTTACTGGAGAAAAATATATCAAAATAAAAATTGTAAAAGTTTTATTTTTATGAGGAAACTGAGACTCCTACTGTTTTCGGCTATTCCCCAGCCATCACTAATGCTTTAAATTAATTTTTTTTTCTCAACGCAGAAAAAAAATTTCTGCAAAATCTATTCACTATAAAAATATTCTACTCTTGGCACTCCCAAAGACTTCCTTTACGATTTTCGTTCATTCTTAGCCCAAATCAACTTTTTTTGCTACCTTTTCTCAAAAATATGTTTAATCAATATCATAACAAAACATATAGTAAATTTTACTGAAATTGATTAAACCAAAATATCAAATATTCTTACAGCCTGTGCCAAACCATATTTCCTAGTATTTTTATATCTGAACTGGTAAATTTATATTTAATCTTCCAATAAAATAAATTATATTTAATCCTCCGAATAAAAATATCCATTAAATATTTTTCGCAGAAAGCACTTTCAAAATCCATAAATCGTTATTAAATATGTTTAATCAATATTATAACAAAACATGTAGTAAGTTTTACTGAAATTGATTAAACCAAAATATTAAATATTCTTACAGCCTGTGTCAAACCATATTTCCTAGTATTTTTCATATCATTAAACTGATAAATTTATATTCAATCTTTCAATACAATAAATTATATTTAATCTTCCGAATAAAAATATCCATTAAATATTTTCCCTCAGAAAACACTATCAAAATCTATAAATCGATTTTATTTCCTTAAAATTTCATGCATTTACGTAAATTATTAAAAAGTTAGCAATAGTTTCTTTGGCGTCAATATAATTGCAGTTTCAGCCTACACATTTTATACATGTAAAACTAGTGTTAACAAACTCAGGGTGCCAGTACTTTGTATCGTAAAATCTATTTTTACCTGAACATGTTATGGAACAAAAAAGCTGCTATGCCATATTTTTTTACAGTCATAATTACCATAAAATCACTGAATTACTCTAATTTAATAAATGATACTGCAAGATTTACGGAATGATATTTTACAGTAAAAATGGATTTCATTGAGGAAAATGGAATTTACTGTAAGTTGGATTTTACGGATGATGCCCCCAAAATGTCGATACTTAATACGGTAATTTAATCAGGACTTTTTTACAGTGTATTTTTCTAAATAATGGAATGGAAATTGAATGATGCAGTGCATAAAACAGTTTCGATTGATGATACGGAAAGCATTTATCTGATGTTTACATATTTACAAAAATATTTTGTAATTTTCGTTGCTCCCACATCTAAAGGATAATTAAAGGATATTGTAACTACAAAAGTCTTACAACTCTTCCTTCAGATCAAATGCGTTTTCATTTCTAGTAACTTATTTTGTAAATAGATTTTTAAAAAATGATAAAAAAAACTGGCCCCAAGGTTCTTTTTTAAAAAAAAATTACTAAATAATCAGTCTTTATTAATGAAAATTTCCCAAAATATTTTTCATAAAAGTTAGACAATTCCGATTTCAAAAATAGAACTTCCATTTTGATAAAATCTTCATAACAGGATTTATTACAATCTTCTTAACACTATACTAGTACTCCAATCTGTGCTTAACCCTGATAAGCATTAATCATTTTTTAGTTAATCTGTGTTCCAAGAAAAAGAAATTATCACAAGCATACAAAAAAAGTAATGCCAAACGTATCTTAATTATTTATTTTTTCAGCTCCATTTCATTCAATCCGAAGAATGCAGTTTTTAAACTTTTTATTTCATTTTAGAAGAATTGAGATGCAAGAAATAAAAGTCAAACTATACATTTACAAATCAATAATTGTGACACATTTTTCTACAGTTATACAGCAATTCGTGATGCTGAACTTCATTATTTTTCTGTAAAATAACACAAATCTTTGAATATTGTACAACGAAAAATGCATGAAATGCAGCTTTTGTAACTAAATTGCAAAAAAGTAACAAATTTATGAGTTTCATGTAAATGCAGAATGTTACGTAACCATTAGAATCCTTGTCAAATGTGGAGACTGTACTTAAGAAATCACAAATTAATCGTTAATTAAAGAAAATTTCAAATATTACGAATCTTTACAAGTTTTACGTATCTTTAACGAGAAAAACGCAATATTAACAAAATTTAACAATTCATTAAAATTATCAAAACCTATTGTCTGATAAAAATAAAGATAAAAGACATTTATGAAAAACATCTTGCTTCCTCTAGCAATCAGCCTTATTTTGATATCAATCTTATTTTTACAACAATTAACTTTACTCCTCCAAACAATCGATCAGGATCTGATAAAAGTTTAGTTTTTTTTTCTTTTCTGAAATTTGAATTTACGACCTCAAATGTACAATCTTTCTAAACTTATAAGAATTTCAAAAATACATATTAAGGATGGTAATAACAGAACACAGTACATACTTTTTGTGAAAATTTTATGTCAAACTTAACATTTTTCTGTATGTATAAATGTAGCACTTTTTTAATAATTAAAAGGCTTATAACTCTAATTTATGTTTCGTTTAGAACATTTTTTACTCAGTCATTTGTACAGGAAGAAGCAAATTCTAGTTAAATTACCGTACTTTATTAGGCATGACATTTACTATGACATTACTATCTAGACTATGACATTTCTCGTTTATAAAAAAGGGTATTATTCTGGTTAATAAAACCAAAGCACAATATTATAACCGTTCGCTTAAAAATTTTCCGTTAATATGGATTACTAGAAATTCTGGTTTCCAAAAATATAGTTCTTATTCAGTTTTGTATGCATTTAGTAAACAAAAAAATACATACAAAACTGAAAAATAAATTTAACCGAATTAATGGTTTTTATGCCATGCTCCAAGGTATCGTTTTAAAATTATCATATTTTATGACATATTATAGAACGATGTTTTTTTGTTAATTTTACTAACATCATTGAAAAAGCTCGTCAATAAAAATTACCGGGACTTTTGGTATTTCCATTAAGCCCGAAGTGCAGTAAAATTTGCCATATTCTGTCAGTTTTGGCCTTTTTTTTATTTTTCCAGTGTACTGCTCAAAATTAGTAGAAAACGATATTAAATTTAAAATCGAATATAGAAAGAAAATATGCTACCAAAATTTAATTATAACCAAATTACATATTTTTTACGTTGATGTTATAATTTTAAATAGTTTTTTAAACGTTGAAATTTTACTTCAACTCCTAAAGCTATGCTACAACGCTTATAATTAGTAGAACGATATTTATATAAAAGTAATGTTTAGCGAAAAATACACTACTAAAATTAAATAATAACTAAAATATATATTTATTTTTTATGGTATTATTGCAAAATTGTGGTACTATTGGAAAAAATTCTACAAATGTTGACATTTTATTTCAACTACTAAAACTATGCTATAATGCTTTAAATTATTAAAACGATGTTTAAGTTACAATAATTTTTAGCAAAAAAATATGCAACTGAAATCAAATTATAATCAAAACATATATTTATTTTTCAAGGTATTATTGTCAAAAGTTGTTCAAATGTTGAAATTTTATTTCAACTACTAAAACTACGCTATGCAACTGGAACTAAATTATAACCAAAACGTACATTTATGTTTTATGGTATTATTTCAAATAGTTTTTTCAGATGTTGAAATTTTATTTTATTTTTCATTTATTTTATTATTTTATTTACTTATTTTATTATTTTATTTATTTATTTTATTTTTCAAAATTATTCCTAAGTTATTCCTATGAAGAAAAAAATATAGCAATATTTTTGCATAATTTTTGTGAATTTTATTAGAACAATGTTCAACTTTACGTCATAGTCTAGCTGTTTTTAATTTCGGTTCATTTCAATAAGCACTTTCAATCTTTTCCGTTATTTTAATCAGTATCTTAGAGATTTGACATCTGTTGCCTATCTCTTGGGAACTGCCAGTCAAAGCAAATTAGTGATTTCCTTTGAACTTATGTGATTATAAAAGCCCACTTTACGCTTCATAAAATGTCATCTTGTTTTCATACCATCAAACAAAAAAAATAGACCAGTAGTATCCATCAACATGAAAATAGTTATTTGTCTTCTCCTATCCTTGGCTCTTATTGTAAGTGATACTTTAATTAAGATTCTATATCAACTTCTTTTTTTTATGATGCACAAAAAATTTTATTTTTATTTGAAGGATTGTTTTTCACTTTCATTTGTTTGAAGTTTAATTTTTCTTCGTTATTTTTTAATAGTAAGCAATGCTAATCCCTTACTCAACATATTCTTAAATTCCATTTAAGAATATGTTGACTTAATATGTCCATTAAGAATATGTCCATTTAAGAATCTTATGACTATCCTAAAAAAACTTTAAGAAAAAAAAAATCCTGAAATGAACTTCACAATTAATTACTTTCAATTTAACTAGAAATTCTTATGTGCAATTTATTATTTATCAAATACTGGATTTAAATTGCTAAATATTGTATTATCACTGAATTTTTACTTTGCATGATCGAAAAGAAATATATTTCAAATTTACACAGTTAGAATTTTCATTCTTACGGTGAAATAACCGGCAGCAGTGTGTCCTTTCAATTAACCGGAAAATTTACGGCAAAGAACATTTTTTACCTTAATGGTTTTGAAATCGTTACAACCAGTAACCTTTTAACCATTTTTAAACCATTCACAACTTGCATGGTTTCAAAATCGTAAAAAGGAAATTTAACTGTAACTATATGGTGCTGCCATCTATGCGTAAATGAGAAAGTTGTATTCTTACAGCCAAGGTTCATAAATTGGGGGATGCAGGCCATTATAAGCAGGTTATGTACTGAAGGCGAATGGATAAAATATTGTGGTATCATGGCTGGGACTCTTCCCACCATTTTGTAGGTCATGAAAATGACAGATTAGCCCTCTCACCTATGATATGTATCCAATTGCAATTGTTCAACCGTATTAGGTGAAAGCAGTTAATAAACGAATTTTTTCGCAGTTAACAGTTTGAATACCATCTAATTTATGGTTATTTATAGTTTTGTTTTAATATGGTAAAATAGCCATTTCATTTTAACAATTTTTTACAAGAAATTTCTTGCAGTGTAATTCACTCTCAAATGGTTCAATACAGAACCCTAATGTGTGTACCTTTTGCGGTACAAATTCAATGTAAACTAAATGAAGTTTTATATCGAATTGAATGGTTCACATAAACCAGAATTCATAAATTTAATTATAAGAATAATCAAATTAGCAACCATATTTACTTTAGAAACATTTAAAATTGATAAAACTGAATGTATTCGTAATTTTTTAAATATTTAATTAAGCTCTAAGCATTGTCTGAACTAAATTACGTTGTGTGAGCAAAATTACGTGGTCAAAACTGTATTACGTCTTCTAAGTGTATTTTGCAGACTATGGTAGATATTAAATATTAATAATAATTATTTTTATTACAAATGCATTTTATTCAATAATAAAGGTATTAATATCGGAAATATGATTCATTGACTAAAGTGAGGTAATTTACGTCATTTCCATGTGACAAACTCCTGCCAAACTTCTTGAATTTTTTTAAGTCAATCTCATATCAAAGTTTTCCATTAAAAATCATCTAAACCTCCAAAATATCCTTTAAAAACTCTCCAATTTTCAGCTACATATCAGAGGGTAAATTTAGTCATACTTATTAGTTTCTACAAAGTATGAAATACTTAAATATAGTAAAACTAATAATTGTTATTAGTAAAATAAAGAATATTTATTTGGAAAATTATGAACTATAGTTAGTAACATTATGAATTGTAATGAGTAAAATTATGAATAGTGATTAGTAAAATAAAGGATATTGATTAGTAAAACTATGAATTATAGTTAGTAACATTATGAATTGTAATGAGTAAAATTATGAATAGTAATTAGTTAAATAAAGAATACTTATTAATAAAATTAGTAATTAGAGTGAATATCATTATGATTTGTAATGATTAATAATATGAATTGAAATTAATAAAATAAAGAATACTAAATAGTAAAGTTATGAACTGTATTCAATTAAATTAGGAGTTATAATGAGTTAGAATATAAATTGTAATGAGTAAAATTATATTGTAGTTAGTAAAATAAATTTTATTAATTGAACTTATGAATTGCACTCAAAAAAATAATAAATTATAATGAGTAAAACTTTTTATGAAGTTTTTTAATGAATTATAATGAATAAAATACTAAGTTGTAGGGAAATTTTATGAAGACAAAAGTCACGCTACATACCAGATTTCAAAAATATAAATTTTTATAAATGAAAAAAATTTCTTTTAAAACAATTTTTTTTCTTGAAAAGGTGCCATCGCATGCTATTTCATGCAGAACAGAGCCAGAAAGATGCGGAGAAGGAGAATGCTGCGTTGAATTTGGAATCTTCGGAATGTGCAGGCCACTTTTGAAAGAGGGTAAATTAAATTTTAATCTGTTGTCGCAAGATAAATTATTATGATTAACTGAACTTTTCAAGTAAACATGAGTTATATAAATCTAAGTTCTTTCAATAAGGTGTTCCCGTGTTTCTTTTTATTCATTTTTTTCCCATCACACTTAGCATTTAGCACTGTTTGACCAATTTAGTTCATAACTTCGCCCACGCGTGTTGCATAGACTAGTTCCATTAGATTAAATGCTTGTTAACCCCTTCCTTCTCGCTCCCGTGAAAATGACGGGATAAGGTTTCGCCCTCTATTTCTCGCTTCCATGAAATTTCCGGGCTGAGTGTTCAGTAGTAATGTGCCAATAAGAATAAAATTAATTCATTTATTTTCCCTGGAAAACATTTTATTTCTCATTTTACACACCAGATGGCAGTACCAGGATATTTTTAAGGTAATTGTAGATAGTTAGTTTACTTCAAACTAGACGTCAGCACTAATCAAATCCGTGTATTTTACAAAATAGGCACTTTTATGACCGTTTTCTTGAAAATTAACCGATCATTAAGGGGTTAAATGTTCAGAATCATTAGAGGTACTATTTAACTCATACTTACAGATACTATTTAACTCTTCATGAGTGAGATGCAGAAAATCCAAAATGTGATTCAAGAATCATATTGCACATTTACTGAAGACTGAGAAAACATTGTAACCCCTATAAAAGATAAGTCAATTATAGTGCAAAACATTATGTAAAATTGGCAAGATAAAAATTGTGTGAATGAATTAGTGCAAATACATTGCTGAAAATGTGATTGTTTTTAAACAAAATGTTTCTGCAGTGAAGTCAAAATTGATACTAATGCTAATGAAAATATGTGTCGTCAGTTAAAAAGCAAACAAAAAATTGAAAATAAGTAAATAAAACTATAACAGTGAAAGTTATCTCAATACTTAAAATGGTACCAACTATATGCAAAACAAATTTTACAGTGCAGAAAATAAGCCTGATTCTTTATATTAGCATAAAAGGCATGTCTGTTAGAAAATATGATTTTTCTTCACTACTGTTTAGCACGCTAGTTATTTCATTATATACACTTTTAGGAATTTCTTTTAAAAAGTGGTTAAATAACAATTTATTTAATTGTTATTTTACCTTATTCAACCAGAAACCGTCAAATAGCCGTACAAAAGATGTTATTCAAAATATTAACTCTGAAAAATGGTTTATTGACTATATTGATAGAGTTAAACGCCCAGAATTTCACCTTCGCTGACTAGGCCTAAAATATGAAGCCACTTTGTTCCTTGCAGCTGCGTACTTACTGTAGCCGAGAAGGCTAATCTGTAAATCCCATGACAGACTGTACTGGGAGTCTGAATCCCAACTTTGACATTATTTCGATTACTTCAATAAATGAAACTTTTCCAAAGTCTTCTCCATAATTGGTGAGCCTGGACTATAAGATAAATAAACTCTAATTTAGAATAGATGGCAGGAGTTGTTTAACACAAAAAGCTGCGGTATTTCTTAATTCTCACTGAGATGGTATCGCCAGAAATACTAATTTTGTCACATTCCATGGTTCATTCTACGAAACACAAAATTTCAATGTTCATTAGCTAATGAAAAACCTAGCATAACCTAACTTCTATGCCTAGTTAATTTCTTTTTAACGCTCTTTCAACTATTCTATTTATTAACAGTTTCAAAACCGTAAAGGTTAGAAAGGATCCTAACTATAAACTTTACGGTTAATTGGATGCACAGACTGCTGTCGATTATTTCATCGCAATTTCAGAATAAAAATTGTAACAGTGTATTAGATCATTAGCAATCTCCTAGTGATAATAAAGAACACGTAACACTAAATAAGTAATTTATGTAGTTATAAGCTTTCTCTATAAAGGAAATAACATTTAGAAATATTCGAATTTAATATTTTTTTCGACATAACTAATGAAAACGTTGTCCTCAAGTTGTAAGTTGAATCTAATTTAATAATGCAGGGAACTTTTTTTACATAGATGCAAATTTTAGAGAGAGAAAAAAGATATCTCAAAAAAATATCGTTTTGCGTTTCTATTTTCGGGAAACATTCGCATCCTATTTGTAACAGATAAAGCTTCTGTCATTTTGTCTGTGACAACTACATCTGATAAATTGTCTCTAAGCGTCGTTAATTAAATTGATTGAACTTTTTTCTTTCTATTGACTAGGTGAAAAGTGTGAACTGAAACAGCTGGTATCTTCATTTAACAAACACGTTTATTTATTGAAATGCCCATGCGCAGAAGGTCTGACTTGCGAAGAAGATGACAGTGGATCTGTAAGTAGCGAGATTATTTTTAGTTCCATTTCGGAATTTTAAATTACTTGTAAATCATAAAACAATTGGCTTTGAAACAATAAAATCAATAAATCACTTTTGATGGTGTAAATTAGAGTAAAATTGCATGGTTAATAAGATCAAGAAAATTTTAAAAGGAAACTATAAAGAAAAGATAAGAAAAAAGGAAGAATATTAGTAAATTTCCCAAAAGAAGAGAATTTTCTAATTTTAAATTTTAAACTCGTCAAGAATTTCGTAAAGATTAGTAAAATTAAATTTAGGAAACTTAGTTATTTATGAATTTCTTTCATGTATAAAAGTGATAAATAGAACAAAATCTATATTTACATGGTTAAAGATATATAGTACTTGACAAATATTATAAGTTATAGTTTCAAGAAAGGGAAGAAAGAGTATATTAAGAGAAACAATTCTCAGAAAGAAGTACAAAAGTGTTAATAAAAGTGCAAGACTAAATGCACAAAATGTTAGTAATTAGTGCAAGCCACAAAAATAAATATTAATTAAAAAAGTTTAAAAAAATAAGCTAAAAAAAGTTTTTTTCCCCAAAATTACTTGAAAGAAGTTTTTCTAGTATGAGGAAGAAAAGTGTTAAGTTTATTTAAATTTTTTTTATCATTAATTTGTTTTATTTTGAAAATAGTTCACTCATAACAAATGCAGCAATACTTTCTTAGTTAAATCTTATATAAACACAGATTATTACAGTTTTTAAACATTTTAACTTTTTAAAAAAATTTAAAATTTTGTAAAAAAAAATGAAAAACACAACTTTTAATGCAGGACTTTTTTTAAATTCTCGAGTAGAAAATATTCTAAGCATTAATATGAACAATATTTTAAAAAAATGATAATTTGAATATCAATGTTTCAAAGAAAATTTTCCATATTAGCTCCGTTGGTCTCGTAAAACTGTATTCATTTACAAAATTCTTAGACATTGAATATGGAAGATTCCTTATTTATTTTCTTTTAGCCTTGTGCATTTTTTAAAGGTAAAAACAGTTTATACATATTGTATAAATGTTTTTTTATAGATAATTATTACTTTAGTTCTTTGTTTTTTTTATTATATTATTTTTTTAAGCACAGTAATAGGCGAAGAATATACCATTTGGTAATTCATTTTCGTGTTTTTAGGCAAAATGTAGAAGTTAAAGTTCAATCGTTGGTAAGTAAGCTAATTGTCATACAAGATCCATATAAGTTTCGTAGAAACTCAAATTATTAATCTTGAAGCACGTTGACTTATTAATATGACACCAATTTTCAGGAAAAAAAGACAATTTCCTATTTCTGTCTCGCTTTCGTTTGTGTTGAAAAAATTAAATTAAATTAAATTAAATTAAATTATGTTCTAAACGACTCAAATGGTTTTAAGCAGCCTAACCATTAATTTTTTTCAAAATTAAAGAATATATTAGTTTTGTTTTATTTCAGTGAGTTTTTAATAAGATGCAAAAATTCCATTCGATTCTGTTAGTTAAAATATCTATGAAAAATAATTTATTTACCGATTAAAATGTTAATTCCTTAGATAACAGTTTTTTTTTCGCTAATGTAAAGCAAAAGATCTTATGTTTGATCTTTGGTTTCACAAATCCTTTTCTTTTATCAATTTATAAAAAAAAGTTTTGAAGAATTGATTGCCTAAAAAATAAAGATACAGTAGTCATTCGTTATATAGTCCATAAGAAGAAATTGCTCTATTTTTATGCACCTCAAAAAGCAAACTAATCCCCTTAACATGGCGAGAAATTTCTTTCGAAGAGAAAAAAAAAGAAACAAAGTTAAGAATTTTCAAAAATAATTAACTATAAATAAACCATTAGAAATTAAGATTCATTTTAGTCACTTTTTTTTTAATCTAAAAATAATAATTTGCGTTGTTTTTGAAAAAATCATGATATTTTGAAAAATTTAGAAATACTTTTATAATTGAGTTGAAAATAACTTATTTTACAATTGTTTTTAATAATTTGCAATTATTTTCGTTACAGTAAGCAATCCGTTTGTTTTTTTTTTCTTTTTTTCTTGATTTCCAACTAGCACAATGAAGCGATTTGTTTTTTTTTAAACCCACAAAATGCAAATATATAGAACTATCATTTTAATTATCCATACAAACAATCAAAGTTAAAATGTACAACAATTAGATTATATGAATTATTAATAAATTTCAAATAATTTGTTATCAAATAATTAAAATAATTATCTAATTAATGAAACTAAAAAACTCCGTGTTTTGCTCTCTTCGAAGTTATCAAAACTATTAAGGTTACAAAGATATGGTCACAAGATTTATAATATTATCTTGTTTAACGTGAGTAATCAATTATTTAGAGAAAAGTATCATGAGGGCTTCATGGCAAGCAATCTAAAAACTTTGAAATATCAGAAATTAAAAAAAAAAATGTATCTTCTTTGAAAATGTGATTTTGTTTAATTTTGTCAAAGAATAAACAATTTTGACTATTGTACCATCAAACTTAGCTTCAAATCAATCCTGGAGTAATTTCTACTATCGTAGTCACCGGTGTTCATTTTTAAATAAATTCAATTTAATAGTTTGTAGTCATTGCTTATTACCTTTAAACTTAATTAATGCTTCCATCGATTACAATATTTTGCTGATGCCTCTTTTTCTCACATCACTTAAAATTTTGTGAAGAAGAAGACTTTTTCCTATGCAGATAAAAAAAAAAGCTGAAGAAATTATGAAATAGAAATCACCGACAAAGAATATCAACTATCTTTAAGAAACGAATTTGATAAAATTGATTCCACAGATGGTTTGCTTATCCTAAACTGTAGATTATTTGGTTATCTTTATCGAACGACACATTTTTTCTCGCAGAACTACAGATAAGAAAACCACTCTAACATAATTCTTAAATAGGTCGAAGATACGTTCATCTTAATTTTGGATTATGAATGCTCATTAATACAAATTTATAATTAAAACATTTTTTTTAAAAAAATAAGACATGACTATAATCTAGGAAATGATGTTTGTGAAATTTAATAGTAATAAATTCTTAAACTCACATAGATGGTTTTACACAAAGCATACAGTTCCTCGACAAATTAATAAACACACTATAAGATTCCATGTAAAATCTTCATTAACAGGCTTTATTGTTTTTACAAGGCTGAAACCGGTTTGCATTCGTGTATCAATTGGTTAACATTGTAGTGTAATGCGTTACAAATAAATACAGAAAGGAAGTATATAGAAAATCTCCTGCATAAAAACCCCTTACATGTATGTTGAAATATAAAAGAATAGCATACAAAATCATGCAAAACGCGTAATTATTAAAAAACTTCAGTGCGGTCTAATAATTATAACATTCTAATCAGTCATATTGGTCTAATAATTATAACATACTAATATAGTACCTGTTATACTAAATATTATATATTTATGTAATATATCATCTAATTTATCCAATCGTCAATATCTATCTTATTATATAAAACGCTAATACGTACGTATGTATGTATCAATAAAACCGATGATATTTCTTTTCTCGCGTTGGCAACAGTTTTCATTTTCAATTGATATGCTTCGGCGCGCAAGAGCACGTAGTGAGCATGATATGGCTAATCGGGTGAATTCTCACCGAATTATCAAAATTATCTTCTTCGAAGTCGATGCTTTACATCCGGCTTTCAGTACTATTTCATATTGTTTTACAACGCATGACTTCAGCCCTCTGGTGGGAAAGACTTTAAAACAAAACTTACAACAGTTACTTTTCTCAACAATTGAAATTTAGAATAGTGTGATTAAGAAAAATATGTGAACTGTTTGCAATTTCAAATTAATATTGAAATGCACAGGTTTAGAATTTTTTACAGTGAAAAGTTTTCAGAACTTCAGTGTTCAAAAAAGTATACGAAGGCTGCACGTTAAGAACGTATCCAATGAACGAGCAAAGCGAGCATCGGATTGCGAAGCAATCCGAAATGAACTGCGAAAGCAGTTCCGGGGTTTGGTGAGCGCCAGCGAGCAGGGGGCGAAGCCTCCTAGTTATATTATATATCGTCTAATTTAACCAATTGATAGACGAACGTAAACAAATGCAAGTCGGTTTCAGTCACGTGAAAACAATAAAGCTGTATCGCCTGATAATTAATATTTTACATAGAATCTCATAGTGCGCCTACTGATTAGACCAGGGAATTCAATTTTTTTTTTCTCGAAAGAAATTATTTTTGTCTTAAAAAGATTGTATACTGTATTATAAGACTTATTAGTTTGCTATAAGTATTACTGGGGTGATTTAAAGCTTAGAAAACCACATTTAATTAAATTGAATTTTCGAATGCAAATTACATGATAGACAGTGGTAAACTGCGCACAATAGTCTTTTTAATTATCTCCCCACTCGTGACAGTATTAGTGATTTATTATTGTAGTATGCCATCTTTTCAATAAATGTTTCACTACATGATTTAAAGAGAAGGAAGGGTCACACGGATTGTTTTGAGCGCAGTTCGTCAACCCTTCTCAAGTAAAAAGAAATGTTAGAAGCGCATTCCACTAGGTTTTATAGAGCCATTAGGTCAATCCACTATCACTGTTCATAATCACACCATGGAGACTCCTGAAGTATGCTATTCACTTAATATTTCAGACCGTTTAATCACGATTCACTGTTCTTTTTTCAGACTCTACTCGGACAGTGCGTTGCAAAGTGAAGAAATGAAGATAGTATAAAAATGAATAAACTGAATGTAGCACCTGCACCAATGTACTGTAACTGAAAATGTTCCATTACTTCACACTTTTATACTATGTATGAAATGCTCATAAAAATATTAAAAGAAATTTTCTCTGAAACACTCTTAACAGTTTTGTTACATAATTAATAAATAAAGTTTATTCATTCAAATAACAAAATGTGCTGTATGTAACTGTAATCATTGTAGCATTCCAAACGTGCCATTCATAATTTTATTTTTTGTTTGTTGACATAAAAAAATTTTATTTAAATAAACTTGCCTTTACCACATTTTTACTTTAAAATTTTTCAGTTACTCATTTAATAGCTCCATATATTAAAAGATTTCAATAATGCTTTTTTTTAAAAAATTGTATAAAATTTTCTTTCACCCTCACAAACCATTACGTTTTAAAACCTATAAATTGTATATGAAATACTGATATGAATTTTAAACAAAATGTTGTTTTTTTATATTTTAAGTATTTTAATGATAATTTTTGCAGTGTAATTTTTTTACATTTTAGAAAATTTCTGAAAGATTTTCCCAGATTACGCGAAAAACTTCATAAATTTCGAATTAGACCCTGAAATGGTAACAGTGCAAATGAGAGAGTTAAAATTATTTTTTCTTCAACATTTTTGCAGATTTCTTACTAAATTAAACTCGCATTGATGAAGAGCTTTTGGTAGACATCATGATATAAACTTACAAGATATGAGGAATATATTTGAAGTGCTTAAACCAGTGTAATAACGCAATGTAATAGCCACACTCTTCCCTAAGGGGACAATTTAAAATTAAGCAGTCTTTCAAGACTATTTCCAGAGACATTTTTCACAAATTTCTGAATTTTTCACTACATAACAGCACAATACTAGTAAAAGAAGACACATCATTGATTCTACACATTCATTAATTCCTCTAAGTTCATCAACTTTAGAATAGATACTTGATGATCTGTGCGGAACATTTTCCAATTAAGTCTTTAGGTGAATCGAGATTATTTTTTTATACCAGTCAATGAGATTACTCAGGCATGTACTTTACTTACTTTCTTAAATATAAAGCAGAAGTATTTGATAAAGTTGGAAGTTTCATATTGAAGTTTAAGAACTTATTGAACAAGAAAATTAAGAGGTTAGTGTATCACCAACAACATAAAAATTATTGTATTTTTCACCAAAAGCACTCTTCTGATAAATTTCAAAATGTGATTTATGATTTTATTGACCGAAACCCTTTATTTTTGAGGAAGGAAACTGAAAAATATTTTTCAACCAAAACCTATATTTTTGGATGGGTAAATTGCAGAAACACACATTTACTCTTCTCAAAGCAATCTTATCTCAAAATTACCTGATAAAGCAGAGAAGCATGCAACAAACTTACAGTGAAAGATTACAATCCAAAATCATGATGCAAGCTTATGAACTGAAACTGTGCTACTTATTGAAATATTGCGCTAGCTTTTTAGCACTGTAGTATTTTAACTAATTACCTTTATGAATGGTGTAATCCACTTAGGGAGGATAGAGCACTTTTACATTGGACACTAAAGGAATCTGAACTGTTAAAGCTATTTTATTGATTATTAATGCAAAAATTGTTATGAATAATGTAGTATCTGTTCCAAAATTACATTATAATTTACTATCAGTTACTTGGTTAGGTTACTATATTAAATCTAATTTGAACTCAGCATTAGTTATTGCTCCTAATGGACATATAATTTTATAAAATTTAAAAATAAATACAAGACTAGAAATTAAGTTAAAACCGAATGTTTACTAGATAATATCTATTTCAGAGTGTATGCAAGCTAATAAAAGCACAGAATTAAATGTAATAGGTAACAAAGCAAAAAAGTGAAATAGGGTAACAAAACACTTAAATCCTAAATATATGAAAAAATGTATAAAGTGTTAAATTTAAAAGTTGATAATGAACTAGTTTATGTGATTCTTATGACATTTGTAAAATTACTTGAAAAACTCATCCTAGTAAGAGAAGACATTATTTCCTAGACATCATTAATTCTCTACATTCTCACTTGGTGGTCTGTGCGGAACATTTTTCCAGTTGAGTCCCTAGGTAAATCGAGACAATTTTTGATACTAGTATATGATTATTCAGGCGCGTACTTTATTTATTTTCCTAAAAGTAGAACAGAAGTATTTGATAAAATTGTAAGTTTCAAATTGAAGTTTGAGAACTTAAACGAACAAGAAAATTCAGAGATTTCGTAGTGATGATTTTCGTAGTGAAATTTAAGAGGTTTCGTTTCTAGATACTGGTCTTTTTTTAAATAACAATATTTTAACTAAATATGGAGTTTCTCATGAAAAGTTGAGGTCTTACAAGCCAGAAATTTTAGGCAACGAGCTAATGGAATTTTTCTAGACAAATCGATAGAACGTTAATCTATGCTAGTAAACTTCCATTTTGGGCTGAAGTAATAGATTACGTTACACATGTATTTAACTTAGCACCCGAAAAGGTAAAGCTAAGTTTCAAAAGAATTATTTTTAATGAAAATTAGAACTATGCTTAACTTCGTATTTTTTCAAATGTTATGTATACTAGCAAGTTCCTAACGCCTTAAAAAACACAAGCAATGTATTTCTGGTAAAAAAGAGCATAATGCTGGAATACATGGAAAAAAGATAAACTTTCATATCTATGATATTGACAAAAATAAAGATATAAAAAAATTGTAAAATATGATGAAAAGTTATTGGGTTGCATCAATTTTTTTGTAAGGATAAATCTGTAAATAACTTCAATGAATTCTTCGATAGTTAATTAAGACCAAAACACAAGCAGGTACTATCCCTTAGACTTAAGTAATAGGCAGGATTTCAATCAAAGTAAAACTAGTGGTCGTCCAATTGCTTCAACTAACGAAAGAATTAGGAAATTTAATGAATAATGGATAATTGAGCTCGAAAACAGGTTACTAGATTACATCAATCAGGTAAAATAAAAGAAGAAGTAAGTTAAAACCTATTATCTAACAAATTCTTATGTTGGAGCTAAACGTAGTTAAAATAGGAAGAAATTATGGAATTGTCAAACCAAATTCTATTTGCAAACTCTATGTTTGAGAGATAGTAAATAAACCTGAAAATTTAAAAATAATAAAGCTTTATACAAAGGGGGTTTCCAACTGGAGCCCGCAAAGCCTTTTTTTGTGGCCCGCGAATTAAAATTTATAATTTGTTATTTTTTTATGGACGATTTTCGTCAAAAATCTGTATGGGTTTGAATTACTTTTTCCGTTAATAAAAACCTGATTTCTTCGTTTCTGTGAAATTTAACACACCAACGATGCAAAGAAATTTATTTCTCAGATTTTGCATCCAAGAAAATATTTATTCAAATACAAAAATAATCGTGTATGTTGCTCTTTTTTATTTCATTTTTTTGTATTTTAGGAATATAATTTAGCATGTGCGTATTAGAAATTTCTTGAAGAAATTCTCCGATTTAACTTTTTGAAACGACTCATTTTGGACGAAAATATTTACACACACATTTGTAAATTTTAAATTTAAAATGTAAATATCTATTATCTGGTGGTTGCAGCAGACAAACCTGAATTTTCTCATTGAATATTTTGCGTGCTACTAGGTAAGTTTTAATGCCAACTTTTTTAAAGTTTTATATCATAACAATTAGATATCTGTCGCATATTAATTGTTTAATACATAGGTGCATATTAAAGTTATCGTAGCCCGAAATTTTATTGAAGTTATACTTCTTATGCGACTTCCAACAAGGTTGCGTTAAACGTTTAACGCTACATTTTGATTGGTCGGGAAATCACGTGGTAGGATCCAGTTTTCCCTCATTCTTTTCCATATTGTTTTGGTTCTCACTAGCATAAAAATAATAAAAGTCATAAAATTGTTTTTCTATAAATATTTTTTAGTTTGTTTTGATACACATATATTTTAATAGGGTAGTATTTTTTATTTTCAAGTTTAGTGGATAACAATTCGCGATCGCAACGAACTATAGGGGGCGTTGTTGTATGAGACTAATACCTGCGATTTCTATATGAACAGTCATTCAGTTACTCTAGAGACGTCGTTAATGTAGCACGTAGCATTGCAACGTTCCTTCTTTATTGTGGCTAATTAAATTTAAAAAAGAAAAATGCTTGATATTCTTTCTTATGCAAACGAAAACAAAATGGTATCTCTTTTTATTAGAGAAGGAATA